TTTACTAAAATATAAAGATAATCTCAAACAGGTGACCCTAAGTTCCTTAATTGTGACTTTTGCCATCAATGAGAATCCTTAGCAAACAAATAATGGTACAATAAATAAAGTGTTCTTGGCAATTATTAGATTTCATACACAGCATGTATGAAGAGCACGTAGAGGTCATATATGTCAGTGTCCGATTGAATATATCAGTTTTATAACAAATTGTGCATTGTAGTGACAGTCTGTTATGTCCTTGGTTATTTTCAGGAGTGGGACTGTAATCTTATTTTTAAAAATCAGGTTTTTGGGACATCCCCCCAAATGTATTTTAAAGAATCTTGAAAGATTGGTGTTTGCAATACTATTAATGTGAAGTACATGCAAGCCTTTCCAAATATGGTCATGTATATCCGGTAGTAAGGTCACATGTTATGTAAATGATTGCTACATACATGTATATAGCTTGCAATCCATACATGGACAAAGGTCATTCAACGCTACTGTAGATGTATAACAAACATTACATAAAGAATGACCTACTGACACTGTTGTCAATATAATTTATTTCACTCATCATTACACAGCAATGGCTGAAAACTTCACACTTTAGCTTCAATAAAATTGACATAGCCATCAGTAAAGGCCTCTTGTATTACAATTACTGACAATATTTTGATGAAAACACTTTCTATTAGGACTATTAATTTATAATTATAATAAAAGTCTAGTAGCAGTAATACAAAATCCTTTTCCTGAAAAACATGTGGATTAGATTTACGAGTTGAGCTACAACATGTTTCTTCACACTCATTGTAGCAAATAATAGACTCTTGGTTTTTTTTTAAAACATTGATAAAAGTATTTGAAAAAAAAATCAGAGGCAGTAATACCTGGAGTTTGGTGTCATTGTTCAATGCATTAGGTAAAAATGTTCTGCATGGATACCTCCATGAAATACAAAGTAGTCTTGCGGAGAACAATTCAAAACACTGAAGTGTCATGTCTAGTTGCAAATGCCAGTAGGGCATAACATTTTTATTACTTTACGCACCTTTGTGAACAAAACACTCACATTACACTGGCAACATAAATATATTATTAATTTCCAAACAATGCTGATACACATACATGTCAAAACACACAAGGTTAATATATTGCTATTGTCTATACCGCGGCGCTACTATAAAAAAATTAAACGGCTTTACTACAAAATATATTTGTGTGGGGTTTGTATGTGTTGCCATTCTGATGAGATAAGACCATCACAAATATCTCTGGATGATAATAGCAGACAAAACAGATTTATTATAGCAAGTATTGTAGACATGTCACCCCTCCCCCAAATAAAAAAAAACTAAAATAGCACCACAAAATCAAATTGGATACTACAAGTAAAACCTGTGTAAACACTTTTTCCCCAATACCTTCCCTACAAACTTGCCTATTTATGTAAAGCCCTTTGTGTAAATTATGCAATCATTCCTTTAAGGTTTAATTTAGACAGATTCAACACATAAAGGGTATGAATGGTATAATAATGCAATATTGAAGTACATTTCCAATTTAAAATTTAGTACATGTATCAGATATGGCAGAGGATTGTGGTCGTAGGACATTTGAATTTATGGCTTAAAGCCAGTTTCAGTTCATTCCACAGTGAAAATAAGCAGCTTAATAGAAAATGTAAAACAAATGGGCAGATATATACTACACATACAGCATAAGAAAAGATGTTTGAAATATAGCCATGAATACCCATGCTTGCTGTTGCCATATTAAATTACATATTTCAGGAAGTGTGGACAAAATTAATATTTCAGACAATAGCTTGCTATACACAAATCATCATTTCAAAAACCATACATGAAGAGGCAGAAATATCAAGGATATATTCAACACTCCATTGTAATTATACAAATGTACCATCCATACCATCACTTGGTGCTCTTGATAAAAAAAAAATGCAAAAACACTGCAATTTTGTTGTGCTTTCTGATTACAATTTCATGTGTTAATAATCAAATGAATAGACTACAGTGTAAATGTCCACACAAACATGCATAGTTTATATTTTATTCAGCCTCATGATTTGGACATTTCTGTTGATGCAAACTCTTCTTCTTCTGTTTTTGATTATTCTGCTAGGGTTGCTTCCTTTTCTTTCTGTATTTTGAGGATTTCATCAAGCAGGAATTGCAGTGGGTCCTCAGGCCTGTGGAATACCAAACTGGCAGTCAGTTGCTGCAAAGAGAGAACACAATGTTTCCTGTCAGGGCTGATAATAAAATACAAGAATTGATTTTTTTTCCCACAATTAAAATAATCTTTAGCAATACCAGGATACACAGTCACACTACATTACTTTTCTGTCTTGAACAGTTTCAACGATAAGTTTCTTAAAAGTTTCTTGCCGCTCCAAAGGCTAATAAAATATTATTATATTATTATTAAAAGGGCATGGTCATACTGATCTTTATCATGCACTTAGTTCAATAAATCAATGCCAACTTTTAAAATGATTTGTTTTCGATATGCACATCTACACAGCCACAACAGATATAGTGACTTTCTGAGAAATGACATTTTTATTTTTCTGAGGTGATGTCTGCCATGCTGCATTGAAGAAATATGTCACAATATAACATACATAGTAGCCATGAATCCTGCTATAGCAAAATAGGGTTGATGTGAAAGACTGGTAGACAGAACAGTGTCTATCTAAATTTGTTTTCCCCTTATGAGATTTCAACTAAATTGTGATTTTTTGAGATAAATTGAGTTGTTGGTTATAAACAGTTTGTGTTTGCTTCATCTGTTTAGTACAAAGGTTTGAACACCTTCTTTCATTTCAAAACAACTTGGGAATACAAAGTACCATACAAAACCATGGAAATTTACAGTTTTTAGTGACTGTGTCAATTATACACAGTGAAAGATTGATTGTATTACAACAAAGACAATTTTTTTTGGAAGAATTGTTTTAAACTATATCAAACTAGTATATATTTCATAAAAGCTTCTAAATCACACTAATTAAAAATCCATTGCGTGGAGTCTGCTGAGTAGAATTCATTTAATTGATCACTTTTATGTCAGAATTGTAAAAAGGATATTTTTTATTTTTATTTACACCAGTCAACAAGCTAACTTGACTTGATTTTGACTCAGAATCATTACAAATCAGGGCACACTAGTGAGACCAAATGTCACAGAGACTCCAATGATCACTGCAACTGTGATTTTCCCAACCGCCGAAAACCTGTGTATTGTTGAATACTTTATTTTCGCTGGAATTAATTTTCGCTGAAAAGGCCTTTTGGGTGTTTTTATGGAATTTATTTTCACTGAAGCATCCCTTTAGCAAAAATAATTTCAAAGTGGAAATAAAGTATTCTACAGTAATTGAAATGCACCTGTTATTATATTCAAAATATCAAAGCCTCTACCCTGGTCACTTGTCTTTAAATTAGAGAAAAACAGAAACAACTTTGTTTGTGGCGTTTGGTCAGTACGTATATATTAAATATCTTGCCTGAAGTGTTGGGTTTCAGGTACGACACAAATCGATATTGAGTTGAATGTGAGACATTGTTTTTCATTGGCACCAATACAAGGTGCAGAAAAACATGAGGATGGAAATTTATCATTCAATTTAGATGTTCAAACAATCAAAATACAAGGGGTGTTGGGGGTCAAATTGACATTAGCTTAATTTGAATTATAGCCCCACATTCCCGAAAGCTTTAATGGAAGAGGATTGTGATACTAATAGCCAGATCCACTGGCGACTTTATTATATCACCCATAGTAACACTATATCTGCTGGGGGCAAGAACGTCTCTATTTCACTGTATTTTACCCATTGTTTTGTCAGGGTTGAAAGGTTAAGATTTCACCATGGAGTCAAAACATCACTGTAAAGTTGTGTATAATCACAATCCTCTAACATAAATAGATTGTTATTCATTACGCAATGATGCCCATCCTTATCTACAATAATCAGTAGATCGCATCATTTAATACACACACAAAATGATCTGTAAATATTAAATTGACTGAAAATTTAATAACAGCGAAAATAAAACCTCTCTAAAACTTGTCTATAGTGTATATGTCTATGTGACTGTTACTGTAGTATCAATACACGCATGGGAGTAAAAGAGACCACCGCCATGCTACACGCGGCGCATGACTCGTCCTTTGTTTTGTATTCACTGTTGACATGTTTAGCGTGCTTAGAAACCGATGTGATAGGGCGACGAAACTACGTTGGATGACTAATGTCAATTTCAAACAAATTCAAACAAGTTTACATTGCTACCTACCTGAAAAATGTGCATTACGTTATATCGTTCGAGATATTTCACGGCTCTTGTGTACGGATCTTCAATCGGAGAAATGTATTCCGTCGATTCATTGTCGTCAACCCGAAGACTCTCCTTGAGTTTCTCTTCTAGTAAACCGGTTGACTGACCTACAGCATTCGGCATTACAGACGGTGACATTTCTTTGTTTACATGGTCCGGGATTGGCGTTGGATTTTCGCTAACGTCACCCTGTGTTAGAAGAATTTTTTGGACATCGTCTCCTGGTTCCTGCACCGCCGCAGCCATCTTTGGTACTATGTTTTTGTGTAGGGTTTCCGTACAAGACAACAGGTGTACACAGTCCGTTCGTGTAAACGGTGGCGGCGCTATACAGGCAGATAACCACGCGGGCGACCTTTTAGTTTTCTCTGGCCAAAACGCTCTATGCTCAGACAAAAATAAAAAAGCTAATACATGTACTTTGAAAAAGAAAGTTACACTAGGTGATGAATTTTTACAAATATAAGTGATATTAACCAAATATTTAGTGGCAAATACATTGTATTTACACAAAATTCGAACATGCTACGCGACGACCACTTCAAATAGTACGCAATCAGCCTCTCGGCTGAGATAGCAGTTAGCAATGCACATTTCAATTAGAGAATTGAAAATATCATCACAAAATGAAAAAACTGAGAGAAGTCCACATGTAGTACCCTTATGTATAATATCAAAGCAATCAGACTTGCGTTTTTAACAAGAAGTCAAAAATATCACTTTTTACCAAAAATGACAAAAATATTCACTAAAATTAGAGAACTGAAGATATCACTACGAAATGAACAAATCTAAGAGAGGTCCACCTAAGGTACATACACCAAGTATCAAAACAATTGTAGTTTTCAAGAAGAAGTCGGAAAAGTAAAAAGTTGACGTGGACGGCGGACAACGGTGCACAATCCCTCATATGATGAGCGGATCTAAAAACTCAAGTTGAAGAAAGCTGCTGGGACATTTAAATATACTATATTGAAAAAGGTAATATGTGATCTTAATTCTTGGTTTTTATTCGATATAACTAGACGTTTCGAATCTATATCTATCACTGAGAAGGGTTACTTTGTCCGAAACGTATGTTTATTTTGAACACCGTCCCTCGGTGTTGAGGGACGGTGTTTTGAATAATTGTCAAGGACTGCGATTACCTACTACCGTTTAAATATCGTGATGTCATCATTTGAA